TCAGACATTTCCATGATTTGCATTGAACTGCTTGTGGATGAAGAGGAGTTATTCTTTTCCCTTGGAGGAGAGGTATTTTCTTGCTTTCCCATATTTCTTGTGGTCCTGCGGTGATTTCTTGTCATCTGATGGATGGTGTGTTTCTTTTGAATTCTTGAAGTTCAATCAGAGTGTTCAGGAGCAAGCAGAAAGAGATGATCGGGAATCTCTTTACAGTTCTGTCGTTATGGCTGGTGCAGCAGATTTAGTAGATATTGAGGAACATGTTAACCCTAATAGTATTTCAATGTTTAGCTACAGTGCCCTTAGATCCATCAGGAGCCATGAGGAATCTTCTTCTGAAGGCCTCAACTCTCCTGCCACGCTAGCTTTGTTTGCTGGAGGCTGAATTATCAGTAAAAAATCTTCATTTTTCCGGTCCCCTGCAATGACTAGTTACCAGGAGCCATGAGGACTCTCCTTCTGAAGGCCTCAACTCTCCTCCCTGGGCAGAAGGACCCAAAACTGCTTTCTTAAAATTACCAGCTGAACTTGCTATTGAAAGTAGTTAGATTACTTAAGAAATTGCGTGATCAATAAAATGTGGGGGAAAGGAGGGGAAGACAACTGTAGACACTGGAGAGTGTGAGAAGAGGGTGGTAGAGGGCAGAGGGCCAGAATATATATATTTAAATTATTGATGATAACATGCATGATTAAGCCACTATGCAGTGTATTCTGGATGGGAAATCATATTTTCTATGCTGTGATGATGATTAGGGAATGAATGTAAATTAATTAATTAAAAAAAGTTTCAGGGAAAAAAACATGAAAACTTTTTCTTGAATTAAAAAAAAAAGCATTTAAAATACCTATTTGATGACTGCAGTAAGCTATATAGCCCCACCTAGGTGCTACTTTATAGTATGTTCATTCTACTTGCTGAGGTTTATACCTAAAATGAGACTTGTGTCCATGAATATGTATATATCAGCTGTGCTTGCTATTCAAAATATTTAGATTAATAAAGATCTTTAGTGAATCAATAAAATGTATGTAGGAGAAGGCATATAAAACAACCATGGATACCAGAGACAGTGTGGGAGGAGAGTGGGAGATGGCAGAGGGTGAGAGATAGGGAATCAAGGATGTGAAAAAAAGCAAAATATACAGGAAACAAGAAATAGAAAATTATTTGTTGACAATAACATGTATGTTGATGTGCTTGATTGAGCCAATATACAGTGTATTCTGGATGGAAAATCTCACTTTGTATGCTATAATGATGTATAGTAAATAAATATAAATAAATTTAAATTTAAAAATAAGAGTGTTTATAAAATAAATACATTGAGACAACAAGTGAAAGTGTGAATTGAGAACAAAGGTGCTCTATATTCAATGTACAACTTCATTGTTTTTCTTTTTTATTGAGAAATAATTAAGAAAGTGGAGTTATCATAGGGTACTTACACATCTCATACCTGTTTGATTTGAAATGGCACTCTCTGGACAAGCAACACAAATAAAGCAGCAAACAGGTCTTTCCTCTTGGGTAATTTTCTGAAATCCAGGACCACAGCTCTGGCTACACACAGACTCAGGAGTCTGAGCAAAAAAGAGAATCATTAGTCATATTCATGTACACTATGAGCTTCTTTGATGAAATATCTATATTTCTCTTCCCCCTTACAGAAAATTTTGGCCTTTAATAGAAGTTCATCACTATGTGTCTTCCCAACTCTCATTATGCTGATATTACTTAGACTTCTAATTAATAGTTACATAAGGACAAGCTCAGAGTTTTCTGGTTAAGTGAGTTAGATTCCACATGGTAAACCATGTGGCTTAACTTCTGGATCTGGCAGCTTGAAAAATATGTCTGCTGCATGTGTGTGTGCCAAAAATCCCAAAACAGAAAAAAAAAAAGAGATCATGGCATGACCATTCCACATGGAAGATCCATTCGCGTTCTCTCTGTCTCTCCTAGAGAGCACGTGTCGTCCAGCATAATTTGAAAGAAAAAATATAGTTACTATGTTAACTTTTCTCTGTATTCATAACTATTTATGAAATATTACCAAGGTACCTAATTATTTTATACATGACTGCAAATATTTGCAATGGTTGGTCACATGGTTGACCATGTGAAATCTAACTCACTTAATCAGCAAGTTCAGAGCTTTCCCTTATGTCACTATTAATTAGAAGTCTAAGTAATATTAGCAAAATGGGAGTTGGGAAGATACATAGTGATGAACTTCTATTAAAGGTCAAAATTTTCTGTAAGGGGGAGAAAAATATAGACATCCTATCAAAGAAGCTCATAGTGTACATGAGTATGACTAATGATTCTCTTTTTTGCAAATATCCCTTTGATTATTCTCTACAGTTATTTAACCAGTTTATTCAAAACCATTTTAATGCAGTGTTGTTAGGAATGATAACCTTGGTTAGGCCAATATAGATCAGGGAACTGGCTTGGAGCACAAAGAAATTTTAAGGAGAGACTATATGTGCATTTTAACTCAAGACATTCCTGGCAGCATGAGCCAGGATACAAAATACAAAAATACAAGATACAAAAATGAGAAATAAGCCAAAAGAGAAATTAACAAACTAGAGGCAGTCTAAGGACATATGTTAGATGAACAAAGGACCTAAAACAAGATAAAAGGAGACCTTGGAAAAGAGAAGCCAGCTTGTCTCCCTTGGTAATGACCCATTCTGTCTATGGGCCATATCTATCTATCTCAATAAACCTTGTGTTCTGCTTATCTCCTTGTCCTTCACTTCTTTGCTGCAATGGGGGACACAGACATTAATTTTATCAACCTAACAGCTTTATATGTTAAAGATTCTCGGCGGTGCCTGCGTGGCCCCCCCAGGCCTGCGTGGCCCCCCCA